AAGTAAGTGAGTTTAATGTGAAGCTAAGTGTTTGCCCTTAAATCTAAATATATAGGCTACAATCCAATGTATGTTTGTATGTATGTAGGTATGTTTGTTTGTTTGTTTGTCCTTTATGGACTCCGAAACCGCTCGACAGATTGTAATGAAACATTCAGGCATTATTAAGCATTATTCAAGGATGGTTTGTGTATGAAGTTTGGTGCAGATCCGTCAAAAAGGGCTCCGCCCCATTAAGCTCTGGAGTTTCCCACGTTAACCTTATGAGTAGGCCTACTCATATTTAAATGGAATTAAAAAATCTTAACAGCTGGTTCAGTTAAGCAATTTTATTCTGTGATGTTCAATAGCTTAAAAAGTTAATAAGTTTACCAACAGGGTGCAGCACGATTTTTTTTTAATATATGACAACAGCCAATTTGCAACCAAAAGGTGAGTGAGCGTAGCGAACAAACTTCAACCTGGAGGCGAGTTAGCGTAGCGAACGAGCTAACCTGAAGGTAAGTGAGCGCAGCGAACGAGCTCCAACCTAATAAAGGTGAGTGAGCGTAGCGAACGAACTTCAACCAGGATCTTGAAAATGAACAAGCATTTGACATAAAACCACATTAAGACAGGACGACATCTGTCGGGCCAGCTAGTTACTAATAAAAAGGGAACTAATAACCAACACACAGCCTAGTTCCTAGGTTACTGAATAGGACTTGACTATCACAGTTTGCCCTATTAAATAATGCAAATCATCACTTTAATTACGTGCAACCAATAAAATGTAATGGAATCTCTGGTTTATTAGAATAATCTGTATAAAATTGAAGGAACAGCATTCGCAGATACGAAAACTGTTCTTGTCCTAGTCTACAAGTTCCCTGGAGCGAGTTAATGAGTTGTGCATTTTGGGTGTAAATTTGCATAGCATGTGGTTGGGCATTTGATTTTATTTTAACGCTTACAAAATATAATCACTATACAGCAATTTACGTAAGATTGCAAACCCAAAATTAAGTAAAAACTCCAAAATACTTACATGCAGACAATGTAGCTACCTCACCCAACACCCAGCTGATATCACGAGACTTGTCAGCTGACACTTGACACTACGCGTGACAAATACAAACACCAAACTATGTACACTTAATAAAAACATTTTTATCGCCCACTAAAAAAATGTTGTTACAATACGACCTTCAAATTGATTAAAGACATTTTATCAACTTTTTAATTAGTTGGTAAAGAGGGGTTTTCATAGAATTACAATTATTTCATCGACAAGTAAATGGCTTAAGTGCTTACTTGACTACTAAATCAACCGATTAGATACGAACAAAGAGGAAAACCCCTTTCGTTTATGGGTACATTTATATAAACGTACTCATATTTATACATAAAACTACAGATTAATTGAATACCTTTGATTTTAAGACGTAATGTAGAACAATACAGTAGTGCATCAGACAGTTCTCAAACACTACGAAGAATTTTACCATCAATAATACACATTCTTGTATAAAATAATTTAATTAATTTTATAATTTAATTAATTAATTGTTTAAAATTTAAATACTTCTGAGTATTTTTCCCAAAGCAAACATTAAACACTCACATTAGCCATTTGATTATTATTATTTAATTACTGATTATAAATTATTATTAGTTTGTTTCAATAAGGTTGGTTTCAACTATTTTGATCTGCTTGCTCTAAAAGAACATACGTTAAGTTTACATAATCTGTGTTACGTAACTCACATTATAATTAAGATCATTATCTAAAACTTCGTGTTAGTTACACGGCCAGGCGGCCGTTAAAGGAATACCTGGAAATACCTGGAAGCAGCTAATGGTATTTGTATATTTACTTAAGCTTGGTTACTGGACTATGACAATATTGACTCCACTTATAATGTATAGATTTTTAATTCATATTGTTTCAGTTTTTCATTCTGTATGTTTTTTCTTCAATATTTTAATAAATTTATGTTCATAAATTTAAATCAATAAAGTGCGAATAATTAATAAACTGATGTCACCTGTCTGCCATGTTATCTTATGGGACGTCTGTCACGAAACAACGGCCACTTGCGACGTTGCCAATTCTATCAGGCCGCGGCCTGTAGTTAAAGGTGGCCGTGGTTAGTTAATTACCGTAAAAAAATATGGCTGAATCACGGCCACCTTTAACTCCGCGGCCTGGTTAGACTGGTCTCCCTATGAATCTCTGACGAAGCTATTTGAAATAATTATTTTAAACTCTTAATTAAGTGTAACGTTGTTGGCCAAACTGAGCTATTTCATTACGATAGATACGATTGAAAATGCCAATAATTTTCGTGTGTATAACAATGGAGTTTGGTATCAACATTTCGCCATATAAAAATACTATGGTTATTAAAAAACTGTATTCCGAATTGCTGCCGATCTACCTTGAGTAATGGAGCCCCACTGCCACACAGTCATTTTTGCAGATGACTCTGCTGTTCTCTTGACCAGCAGGGAGCATCCTGAGTGTCTGGATGTCGACAACTTCATCGCAATCAATCAAGCTATGGATTACTGCGCAAATAACGACTTTAGTCTTCAACGAGAGTAAAACTCAGCAACTAACTCTTCTTTGGGAAATTCAAAGATGCCGTTTCAAGTCCTCCAACTATCCAAGTGACGGACACCACCAAACATCTTGGACTCATTCTAGATAACGACCTTCGTTGGAATACCCACATCAATTCCCTTTGCCAGCGGCTCAGCTCATCGCTATTTGCGTTGAGACGTCTCCACAAAGTAACCTCTCTAGCCACAACACGTGTAGCATACCATGCACTTTTTGAGACGCTTTTCAGGTATGGAATAGTGCTTTGGGGGAACTCTTCCAAGCAGAATATGTCCATTGTCCAGCCGTGTCCTGAAATTGCAAAAGCGTGCCGTGAGAATTCTTGGTGGCCTCCAGCAAGATGATAGCTGCAGGGATGTCTTCAGAATGCTGAAAATTCCAGCTATAATCGCCATATACATCTCTGAGGTCGTCAATTTTGTCCTCAACCAATTAAGGCACTCCTAGAAATGCAAATATACACTTGCATTACACAAGGAACGCTGCAATGCGAAGAAGCCATCTTACGCAGGAGCCAGGCTCTACAATCTTCTTCCATTTACCATTTACCATCCGAAGTCCTTGCCACTATCCAAGGAAAGGGGAGTCGTCATCTTCTTCATCTCTTCAAATTTCTTCACTCCTTATCTGTAGAGTGATTGTTGTTTTGTGTAATTGTGTGTTAGGCAATGTGAGTTCTTAGATGTTGAAAGGTGTGTTCTTCGATGAATTCAGTAATGGTGTAATATGGTCTGTCAAGTAGGTATTGTTTTAATCTATTGGCAAATTTTCTGTTGTTGTTTAAGGATTTGAGGTGATCTGGAAGTAGGTTGAAGAAACGTGACCCTGTATGTAGTGGGGTGTTACTAGATTTTTTAAGACGGTGTTGCGGTAGGTCAATGTCGGATCTATGTCTGGTGAAGTGAGTATGTTGATTTTGGCGGAGAAGTGGTGAGGAGTTTTTTGCTAGGATAACTGTTTCGAGGATGTAGGTTGAGATTATGGTGAGGATATGGTGTTTTTGGAAATGTGGCTTGCAGTGTTCCTGGGGGTTCTCTAGTCTCAGTATTGATCTTAAAGCCTCTTTCTGTAAGACAAGAATTTTGTTGATGTTGGCTGCTGATGCTGCTCCCCATGCGGTGATTCCGTATCTTATGTGTGATGCAAAGATTGAGTGATAAGCTATGAAAGCAGTTTCTTCATTTGTCAGTGTTCTTATTCTTCTTATGACATGTAGTGAGGAATTTAACTTTTTACATAGAAATTCGATATGTTCTTGCCAATTCAGGTGATTGTCTAAAATGATTCCAAGAAATTTTGTGGAGTTAGCTGTTAGTACTTCCAGATCTTTCCAATTATTGTCGTTTTCCTGTCTTATTTTGTTTGATAGAGTGAAGTTTATGTGTGTTGTTTTATTTTTGTTAATCTTGAGGTCTATTGATTGACAGATTGATGTTGCCTTTTCCAGGGTTGAATTTACTATTGTGTTTTTGTTGAGAAGATTTATGTGGGGGATTAAGATTGTTGTGTCATCTGCAAATTATATACACCTTTGTTGATCTTCAAGTTGTTCTGGGAAACTGTTGATGTAAAGTAGGAAGAGAAGAGGCCCAAGTATTGAGCCTTGGGGAACTCCTTTTGAGGACTGTTTTAAGGAAGAACTTGTCTTTAGTATTGCATTGTTCTTTATTTGTTCGACTACAACAAATTGAAATCTGTCAGTTAGGTAGTGTTTGATCCAGTCTAATGCCTTGTCCTTTATATTAAAGTAGGTCATTTTTTTAAGTAATATTTCCCAATTAATAGTGTCGAAGGCCTTTTGCATATCAAGAAATAGGCCTGAGGCAGATTTTTTGTCTTCCCATATTTTTGTAATTTCATGACAAAGTTGACTAATAGCGGTGTTGGTGCTTCTACCTTTCCTAAACCCATGCTGTTGTTCTGCAATTAAGTTGTAGGTTTCAAGGTGGTGGACTAGTTGATTGTAGACAATGCGTTCCAGGAGTTTATTGTTGGTTGGTTGCTTATAGGCCTGTAGTTTCCAGGGTCGTGTGCGTCACCTATCCGACAACAATCAAGACAAGACCGGCACTGCAAAGACATTGAAAAACAAACTACTTACGATAATCCCATCTACAACATGGAAGAGTTCTAAACCCTCTGTGAAAAAGACTGATGAAATATATTTTTTTTTACCATTTATGTATATTTTCAGATTTGTTTTTATTGTTGACAGCATTTCTAAGCTCTACGCGTATGTAATAAAGATTCTCTCTCTATCTCTCTATACAAACACAGATTAAACATAAGTTACTCAATAATAATCCAAGATATACCACTTTTCTTTGTATGACTTTGCTTGATATTTTATAAGTTGGCTAGACTAGTAAATCCTGAAAAGAAAAGGATAAAAATGGTTTCTGTCTCCGATCCGATCCAAACTCTGAAATGTGAATCATGTTTGATGAATTTCAATTACAAATTTAAATTGTATATCAGACTGGGATTATTCGAAACCTGATATTTATCAAAAATTAAACCGAAACACCATATTTTGTAGTTAGATTTCAATTTCCTGAAGATATGACCAGGTAAGCTTTGCCTTTTTTCAATATTCCAAATCGAGGTTATGTTTATTTGTAACTAGTGTTGATATGATTTTCGTTTAAATTTATAATTCCTAAATCTAAGTCCATAGCTAAACGTTTGAATCTTTGCCTTAGTGTGTATTGGAGCAATCCCTGAAAGGAGTTTTCTAGATATTTCCTTTTAGAAAATGTCCTTACTCAGGTGACAACCTAAGTATAGCCTAGGCCAAATAGCAGCAGGATAGTTTGGCCTAAGCCTATCCTGTTTTAATGTTACAAAATTTCGAGCCATCTCCTTTGTCACATAAGTTATGGCCCTTTTGTTTCTACCACAGGTTATCAAGTAAAGTAAAACAGCATTTAATAGGTAACTCACCCATATTTGAGTTAGGGCCGGTAGGCCTACCAACATAAGTTATCCTTATCAGATGACACTCCCACACGTGTAAGTTTAACTGTAGGCCTACTTGGGCTTATTGTCCTGCTTTAACGTAACGCCACAATAAATTTTGAGCCTATTTCCTCCACAGAGGTAGGTAGTTAAAGCTGGCCTTGGTTTCACACAAGTCTCGTCTAGAAGTTAGAGCTACCGTACTCTATACTCTTTTTAAAGGTCTGTGAGATTTTATTGATGTCTAAATGACTGGTCTGGTAGTAGAATCAAGCTGTCTGTGAATCAAGTCTGTCCAGTAGATGGTGATAATGATTCGCAATTCCGAGATTTTCTGGTTTTGGAATGGTTGTGTTTACAATAAAATCCATTTTTGAAACGTCCTGTTTCAGATGAATTGATTTGAAAAAATCCATTTTTAAATTCAAATTTAGGGTTGCCACTGGCCATTGTGAAAACCTTGAAAATCTTGAATTATGCATGAGTTCTTGTGACCATGAAAAAAGGCATGGATTATACATGAATTTCTCTAACGGACCATGAGTTTTCAAAATCCCGAATGTTATTCTACCAATACCATTAAGTTTACCAAATAAAAAAAAAATTTCACATATTTAAAAAATGAATATGAAGAGAGAATACTGCCTGGAGATCATTTTTAACAACTTTCATGATTAGAAAAAGTTGCATAATTCATTCTAAGTAATTAGAGGTCAGTTGAGTCTTCCGACTGCATATGGTTTGGAAAATCATTAGTATGCTTAACCCAGCTTATCTATTATGGAGTATGGGAATTTAAATCCCAAAAACAGAAGTCTTAGATCTTGCATGGGATCGAAACTAAATGTGCAATTTCATGGAATTTTGGACTCTGACGCCTCCATTTTTAGCCTTGTGTATAAAACCAATCATCGTATAAAATTAGATCATCCAGAATAATACAGGATTTTTCTTAACATTCATGCAGGTGAATAAAAGGGAATTTCTGCCGGGTGAGCAGTATTTTTGTTTTATTGTTGTGGAAACACAGAATAAATAAATAAATAAATAAAAAGGCCTTTATTTACAAGCGAGTTTCATATACATGATTTTCAAACTTACTCAAGTCAAACTAAAACTAAACTAACCTAATATATACAGAAATTTAATATACAAAAAACTACAAAGAAAAACATTTACAATTTACATTTGTTTTTATACATTGCGGCCCTGAATGAGCCATACGATTTGGAGCTCTTTATGTCCTGAGGGAGGCCATTATACAACTGCGGGCCAAAATAAGAAAATGACTTTCTTCCAACCTCAAGCCTCACTTTAGAATCTGACTTAATATTTTTTTTAATTCTTCTCCAGTATTTCATAGCATTTGTAATAAGTTAGCTTGACCTGTTTTTTTCACTTTGTTTTAATAAATGTATATATAGATGAATCACTCTAAATTATTTTTATATCTCATATAAACTATGACAGGTTATTCGATTCTAAAAAACAAAGAAACTGCCTTTTACACATTTCTGGATAGGCTATGTACATTTCTGGAATCAGCAAAACTCATATTTGTGTTAAAATTATACAAGCACATTGACCATGAATTATTTAAACTAGGTAGACCAATAAAACCCATAAATTCTGCATGAACTTTTTCATCGCACTGCGGGTGGCAACTGGCAACCCTGTTCTATTGTAAACAACAACATGTAAGTCGCCTAGTCATTTAATCGAATGCTATTGTAACTTCCACAAGTTCCAGGATTGAATTATTTACATGTCTTCAGTAGACAGCCCTAAGCCTCTTGCTTATGAAAAAGTATGTACGCCCTTAAATGATCTTTAGCTGGCATAGGCTAATTCATAATGTTCATTGGTTCCTCTGGTACCACAATTTGTGATACCTAATTTACTTATGTTATCAGATGTATAGGAACAATGAACGGATGTAGGCCTATTCAAAACAACTGTTGTTTTCATTGGCTGCCAGTTCTTTGCAATATCTCATTCACCTAACGCCCAATATCCTCGTTTATCATTCACTTCTTTTATCCACTTAGGTCCAAATACAGCCTACTGTTAGAGGTGGTAGTAACCCTTTTATCATGAACTGGTAGGGTTTATACAGTTTTTGTGTCAGTGATTTTTGGAAATTCCTTTTAACCGCAAAATCATGTCCAACCAATAATTTTAACTCTTATGTATTTGAACTTTTATATTCATATTATATTCATATATATTATATTCATATATATTATATTCATATATATTATATTCATATATATTATATTCATATAAAACAAGCTTAAAACATTCACATGGCTATTACTTTGTATAAACATGATATAGATCTAGTCTTAAAAGAGTGTAGAACGATAGTTATTCTTAAAACATTTCTTACTTTGAGAATTGTCTGATATCATCAGCATAAGGATTGAACATAAATATTTAATACCTAGGCTTACTTTTTTTAGTAGGCCTACCTAAGTGAATTTTTAAAATCATAATCTCTGTTTTAGGTCTAAAATTGAGCTGGGTGACGTAACACAGCACAACATAAAACAACTCAAACGTCTAAATACAGTTGTATTTCCTGTGTCATATAATGAAAAGTTCTATAAAGATGTCCTGGAAGTGGGAGAACTTGCTAAACTAGGTGAGTTTTGTATCAAAGATATTTAATACGCTAAGCAGATTTTGTTAACAGGACTTTTCTCACATTTTTATTGAGAAGATTTTGTATCTCTACCATTCCTAGACTGTGTGCAGCTAATCAAGACTACTTGGGTTTTGTTGTAGCTTACTACAATGACATTGTTGTGGGAGCTGTGTGCTGTCGCATTGACACTTCCGATCACGCTCGCAGACTGTACATAATGACCCTTGGATGTTTATCACCCTACCGAAGACTAGGTATAGGAACAATGATGGTTCAACATGTCCTTAACTATGTGGAGAAAGATGGCAACTACGACAACATTTATCTGTAAGTGGTGAACATAGAGTATATCTTGAGTTTAAATTTGGTCTAATATTGAGAAAATGCAAAAAGAATGGGTGAAAATTTGAATTACAATCCATGTGAAGAGATCAGAAATGTAAAGTTTATATTTAGCCTTTAGTATATACGTAAGCTGTAAATTTTGCGGTAAAATCTGGAAAATAGGTAGGTCTATGTGCAAATTGGGTTTCTTGAGTTCTCCAAAACTTCTCTAGCAGTAACATGAAAAAATCGTCCATTCATGGATGGTTTCTTTAGATTTAAGATGAATCCCAGAATATCTGATGACAGCAGATAAATTGTGAATTTTTTCACTGCCCAAACTTTTAGTAATAATTATTCTGAAATTTGTATTCCTAACTTCAAGGGGAGTGGGGGGAAAGCCCCAGGGGGATTTTTTGGGACTTTTGGAAAAATGTATACATCTAGTTGTATACTAACGATTGGTATATAATCTTGCCTGTTGCTAATTTCTTCCCACACAAAACCTTTATTGACTGAGCTACATGGCGACTTGAGATATTTGAGAATTTGTGGATAAAGAGAAACCTAAGAAGATAAGGTAAAAAAAAAACAACATTCTTTTAAAAAGAATGTAAATCCTAACATTAATGTTGCCCTTGGCCTTGGGTCCTGGTAAGGCAATCTTAGGGGGTTTTCAAAATTGCTGTTTCTGTTGTAAACTAAATTATTTGGTAGGCCTATTACTGTTTAAGTCTACTGAACCTTTTTTATTGTTACTGAGCTTTGTGTTCTTTTTTTTGTACTAATAATGTTGGGTTTTGTAAGCAAGTGCTGAGTTTTATTCCTCAGCTACATCACCCAAAGTAACGGTGGGTAAACCTCCAGGCAGCTGGGTTATTACTGTTACAGCTGTTTAAACACAGTATTGCAGTGTTTTTTATTGGTTTATAATCTTTGTACTTTCTCCCCCTAAACAGTAGACTCCCTCTTATACGGACTCCTCGGGACCGAGGCCAGTCCGGATAACGGTTTTTCCGGTTAAACTGACGTCCCCAAAATCTCGTTAAAACGGACCGTTTAAATGCATACTCTATGCAGTATTTGACTTAAATTAGGAGAGCATTGTATTTAGACACGTAATCACTAGTCTCAAATCTTTCTCCCGAGAACAGTCGTTTCAGTACCGCCCACTTCCTGCCAATCTAGTCTGGTTAAACCGATGTGCTGATAAAAATTATCCGGATAAAGAGATGTCACTTCTACCGAGGTCAAACCGATGTCCGGTTGAAAGGTGTCCGGATAAGAGGGAGTCTACTGTATAGGCCTACATAGTATCTAACAAAAAACCACTAAGTGGTAACACTTCCCCCGCCAAGTCAGCAACCCAAAAAAGACAATAAATCACCACTTTTCCGCCAAGTAAAACAATGTAATGTATGTAAGTTTGGCAACTTGGCGGCAGACTTTTGCTTGTTTTTTTCATTAAAGTTACGTTGGTGGATAATTTCACAAATCAACTTCTCTAATTAATTAGTCCAACTAAGTATAATAATTTCGAGGTAATCAGTAAATATAAAACCATCACTATTATGATTTTATGAAATGTGACACAAATAAGGTCAAATTTTGTAAAATAAGCTCTCATCTAGCAATGTACTATTGGGAGAGATACTTGCTCAATGAAACTAATTTTATGGTATTTTTTAAAGTGATCAAGCAAAAGTCTGCCGCCAAGTGGCCAAACTTACATACATTACATTGTTTTACTTGGCGGAAAAGTGGTGATTTATTGTCTTTTTTGGGTTGCTGACTTGGCGGGGGAAGTGTTACCACTTAGTGGTTTTTTGTTAGATTGTATTTATTTTTGTAGAAAATTAACAGTTAAAATAAAAATCCTCTTTTCTCTTATAAATAGACCAGGGCACAACTACACATAAAATGCATTGGTGTTACATAAGTGTTCCGATAATTAAACCCGTATATCTAAAGACTAGTGTAAATTGAGCCCTTATTAGAGAAGTAAAAATGTAATCAAACAGATTAGGTTTGTTAGAAATAGCATAAGGCAAAACAAATATTGAAAAACTCATTTTTATCCTAAATTTACATATCACTTTTTACATTCACTTTTTTGCTTGTTTAACATACGTAGACGGATTTTCCCGATTGTTTTATTTGTTTTAGTGTATCAAAACATAAAACTAACCTTATTTAGTTAAATAAATTTTGGCAATATTATGAAGAAACAATGTTAAAACTAACCTTAGTACTAGTACTAAGTTTCAAGTTCCTAGGTTTCATATGTTTTGATAAGTAGTATTAAACTGTTAAAAATGACGAGCTGCTGTACCAGTGTACCATCGGTACACTGCATTTTTCAATGGAAAGTATCGAGGAATATCACTGCTCTAAGTAATTTTATATAGTAAGTAGCTCAAATCATTCGGTATACCTGAAAAAAATACTTTATAAAAGTTTTAAAATAATTTTTCAGCTGATCCTATGAATTTCTCTAACATTTTAAATTAATTGAGATTTAATCGCAGCTGATCCTTCTTTTGTTTTGATTTTAATCCCATGTTATTTAAATGGGCCAAAATCGTACTTTGAGGGCTTGCCAAGTGTTTATGGGTCAACGCACCGACTTGTGACCCTCAAAAGGCACATCTACACGCTAAGGGCTTTCAAACAACATAAAAAACATTAAAATTGAGCCAGTGGTTTGGGCTGTAGGTCCGTCAACATTTAAGGAGAAGAAGGAGAACACGGAAAATTTGTGAATTTTCAAACTAGTTTTTCTTGGCTCAAACACAACCTTTTTTTAAATTCTTTTTTTTATTTTGCCAAGAATGATTGCCCCTATCCAGTGGATGAACAATTATTTTAATAGCTTTTGTTTCTTCAGAGCTATAGACGAGTAAAAAAGCCACTTTGTCACGTCATGTATATATACACTGCAGCAGCTGTGTACCGCTGGGGGACTTGGCGGGGCGGAACGCTGCCGCGTTCCTTAATATGGAGAAAGTATTGTTTTCGTAAAAACTTTCGAGATTGAGTTTTCTTTCAGTGGATATATCCGTTTTGGGCCCCCCTGAACCCAAAAAAAGTGGTTTTCGAAATAATGTCTGTGTGTATTTGTTTGTGGATGTGTAAACAGAGCTACAAATCACACCTGTTGTCCAATTTTGATGAAATTTGGTATGTAGAAACTAATGCATGATATCTCCAGGCGTTTTTTTCCATTTTTCAAAATTTTGATTTTTAATAGTAATTAAGTAATAGTAATTAATAGTATTCAAGATATCAAAATGAAATTTGGTATTCATAATAATTAGAATAGCAAAAGGAACACAAAAAAAAAACTCATTAGAATCTGAGAACATGGGTGTCATTTTCTTTTTTTGCTGGATGATTTGAAATGGATTGACCCTTTCCAGAAAAATAAAATAACGGAAAATATGATTTTCTCAAAAACGGCTCGAACGATTTAAATAAAAATTAATTATGCAAAATGGTACAAATCCCATTTATGTAAAAATTATGGTTCAAAAGTTATTATTACTTTATATTATTCTCCCCTTAAAATAACAAAAAGTTGGATTTTAGGAAAAAAGCCTGTTTGGTTAAAATTAATGTGTTATGGTCCTTATAATTCTAAACAAAAAAATTGTAACCTAGCACTCATTGCTGTAACAATAATTACGGTTCAAAAGTTATTGCAACTTTTGTGATTTTCCCCATAAAATATTATAGTTACTCCCACCTTTTACCCATGATATAGGTTGTTGACAAGCTAATGGGAGAAAGTATGTGTCAGATTGCTGATACCGTTTATTTATACCATGTTGGATTAACCGTGGTTTTCTCTATCCGTGGTCTCCTTCCCCATATTACCACGACTAATAGAGGTTCTACTTTACAATACAGTAGCCTGTGCTTTTTTATTGTGTTGTAACGAGGTCCAACCTCGATCTATAGTGACTGATGCTATTTGTGAACAAACCGCCCTTTAAAGAAATCCTAAATAGCTAACAAATATTTAGTTTGGTCCCTTGAGATTTGTTATACCGAGGTTAGACTATTATTTTTATTCATGCCTCAGGGACGTACGTTTTCCTTAGTTTCTGATTAGATAATAAATCACAAGGTCTCAGTTTAGTCTATTATTGCTGTATAATTTTTTCACACTTATCTTCTATTGTATTTTTGATGAACAACAATGTTTTAGACACGTTCAAGTAAACAACACTGGGGCGATTGAATTTTACAAGAAATTTGGATTTGAAATTCATGAAACAAAGAAACACTACTACAAGCGTATTGAACCTGCGGATGCACATGTTCTCCAGAAGACTCTTAGACCAACCTTGACCAACGGAGAAGTAAACCATGTATCGGAAAAGTGATATTAGATATAACACCATCATCATTCATACTTAAGTTCAGTTATAAATTTGTTTTTGTAATTGTTGACATTTTCAATAATACAGATAAGGAATTTTCATTGATTTGAGTCATGTTTCTTTTTGTCTTTTTAAATATAAAAAGTAAGTCTTTTATCACGAATCCAGTTTAGAAATTAAATTGAGGTAAGAATCAGACTCCTCAAATAGTTAGAAACGCATGCTTTGTAAAATTGCATTTCCATGATTGGTGTGTTAATTTGTTATCATTTTAACTATTTCAGTTTACAGTACATTAACTATTTGTATATTTTGTTTTCTCGTTTCTATAAATATAACTGATTTATATAATTTTTGGAATTTTCGTTCTATTATGTCTTTTTTTAATGGCCTTAAACTTACTGCTAGGATGATTCAACTAAATCCTGATCAATATACTTCTGTATTTCTGTTAGTTCTTACTTTTTTGATGATTTTTTAGGATTGTTATTCCAATTGTTGTTAATTTTACAAACCAAGTTACATTGCCGATCAGGTTCACGTTGATACCACTTTAGGTTTTGTAATTTCATGATTTAGTAAATAAATTGTTTGTTCATTTTTATAAAACTTATTTAATTTTCCCCATTGCTAGTATTGAAAACAAAATAGTTAACTAATAGGCCTACCTATCACTACAATAATAGAGCTTCAAAAGTGATTTTTTGTAATACAAGCTCAAGTATAATGATGTAGGTGACACCAAAGTCAGAAAATGAGCAAGGTTTGACATGTATAAATTTGGTCTGTTTGATGAACTACAGTTTACTCCCTCTTATCTGGACTCCTTGGGACCGAGGCCAGTCCGGATAACGGGTTTTCCTATTAAACTGACGTCCCCAAAAACTCGGCTTCAGTAAGTATTTCATTTTAACCAAGTCAGTAAATGTTTGCAGCAAACTTATTGACTGTTTACAATTAACATATGACTCTCACTTTTCATTTTTAACAACAGCTGGAGTTTCATAACAATTTTTGTTTCCCATGTTAATCTTTTGGGGAAATACGAAACTTTAAAGGGCCCCAGGCCCTCACTCTCTAATTACTTCCATTGAAAGAAAGTTTCCTGTACAACTTCACGTTATCCTTTCCAATGACACCAAATACATATCAATCGGTTCAGTAGTTTTGGAGGAGCATTTGTCACAAAAAACCTGCTTGCGTATTAAATAAGCACTAGTGGTCGAAAATTTGACCAAAAACATGTAATGTGCACGTATTGACTATTGGATACTGAAGTAGACGTTCCATCTATATAGAACAGATGTCGCCTTTTTTTTATTAAAAACATGTAGTTGTGTGATCCAGTCACCAAATGCGAGTCAAATGTTTTTTCTACCTAATTTTTTGTTACTGGCAAAGTAGATGGGTCATAACAGTTGCTATAGCTCATAATAAGTCATTTCATAAGTTTGACTTGGTAAAAAAACATCATCTATTCGACAGAAATTAGTCATTTTAGACCAGCGCAATCTATTGGTGGCTCACATAAACTACGACAAATTTAATTTTAAAAAACTGGTGACAATGGGGATGGAATGTAAAGGTACAGGCTCCTCTATTTGCACCCAAACTGTAAATAAAACATGTGATTGTAATTTCTTCCATTTGTTTTGATTTTCTGTTTATATTTCCTTGATTTTTCGTCACCAGCATGGCAACCCATAAAGCCCTTGTTAATTTATTTTAAATTTCAAATCTATTTTTTGTGCTTATATTTGAGCTTATTTGAATTTTTAAAGGGAGTCAGCACTTCTACAGGAAAATATCTTTCCAACAGTATGCGTAGATTTTCCCTGCGATGCACACAAGCTGAGAAAAAAGGTTTTAAAGAATCATGCTTGCCTATTAATATATAGATAGATAGAATAGATGTTTACTTGTTTATAGATATATTTTTTTTCAAACTTGGCTAATTTATTTATTTTATATTAAGCTATTAATATTTTAATAATGGTTTAATTTACCTGTCAATATGGTCCTTGCGTAGTTTGTCACTACTGCAGTTTCGTGCTCGTGGAGCACATCTTCAGGTGAAGATCACGAAAGTTAAAACATTTCTTCATGTGAAGGTCGTCAATTTTTGAAAAAACACCGAAAACATATAACACACGAACGGTACGAAGTTTTTCAGTAGTACGGTCAGTTTTTTCAAAAATTGACCACCTTCACATGAAGAAAATGTTTTAACTTTCGTGATCTTCACCTGGATGCGCTCCACGAGCACGAAACTGCAGTAGTGACAAACTACGCAAGGACCATATTGACAGAGGTAAATTAAACCATTATTATTGTTGCTGTATCGTCCAGAGGCGTTTAATGAAATTAATATTTTACTAAAAAACACACTTTATTACCCTCCCCTGTAGCAGCAAACCTAGGTACTTGTTAACACTAATGTTATTTTATTAGATTGAATTGAAAATCCAATCAGGTAAATGGAAATTTGCTTATTCTGCTGTCTTTCATCTAGGCCTATAGGTAATTGAAACAAGAAATTTTTTTTTATTTATTCTTTAATGTAACAACATCATCACAAGTCAGGTTAGGAAAGGTATAAAAAATTCATAAAAGACAATTAATAAATGTCATTAAAGAAGTGGAGACAACATGATCAATAATATTCTAATATTGTACACTTTAATTCTATTGACTAACAACAATGTCTAATTAAAATCAGACTAATCATTTTGTTCATTTTATTTTAAGGCTTAAACTCTTGAGGTATTTTTTAGTAACTGCTTAGTATAAAATAGAACTCCGCCTAATTCTGGTTGAACGTACGCCTCGCTTAATCTAAGCACATTATTTCCAGAGTTTGTTTACAAAAACAGAAGTCATGCCCCTTCATGTCTAGCTACTTCAGGTTCCTGAGTGTTTGTATAGATTAATACTTAATTGCCTTATTTCAAGCATAGTTTCCGTGAGTCATCTTCACCTCCAACATATTCATGCCATGAACCCAACTGTGTTCAACATGAACAAACAACCTAACTTATGCTGACCACTTTTATAACGAAATATTAATAAATAGAAAAAGTACAAAACAGTAGACTGCAATTTACACATTATTACTAAGTTCTTTGAAAGAAGGAATCAAGCTCCAAAAGCACCGAGAGTCTTTTTTTGCTGAAGTTGAAAATGCTACTCAACCTTATAACTGACGATTGTATGCATTTTATGAAGGGAAGTGGAGAAGGAGCGCATCTGAAGCTCTTGTGAGTTGGCAATGAAGACAGGCTGAGTCTCGTCCCATTCGTTAGGAACTTGGCAATCCTTCTTTGTATAGATGAGCAGGTCAAAGGAACCTAAATGCATTAAAAAAATACAATAATAAAGGTTATGAAGTCAAATATAATGCTATTTCCAAGTATTTGTCATAAGAGATGTACAGATGAATTAACCGACCCATCGATCACTATTACTACAACTGGATCGCGCGCTGTACAGCTCAGATATACACACACACGTATCGGTCCGGCACTCCCCCCACCACCTGACGTATACACCGCGCCGCCGCTGCCATACACTTTATATTGGGAGAACGTGTTTTCATTGATAAAAACTATCGTAGCTTTGTTGATAGTTATTTGATTTAAACGCGGTTTCCACCATTGTACTTGTTATAAAAGTACGAAGCTTTTGATGTATCAGTCAGCCCGTTGTACCAGTATTAAAACAATAAAAGTGCCTGACTTAATATTTTTTTGATTAAATTACTATTATTAAGCCTCTTAAAATGCAGGTGTCTGAGATCTTATTTACTAAATGCATACTACTTTGTACTTATAAACAAATCACTTTAAACTCGATTAAAGTTGATTTAATGACAAAAGCATCAGTAATTAGAGAAGTTAAGTCACAATTATAGTTTTTAGGTTTTAAAAATTATAAAATTTATTGCCACAATTAATTGAAAGTCTAGTACTTAACATATTTAGGGATATTTTAGGAAATAAGGGAATTTGGTCTTCGGTAAAAGTTGCACAAATTAATACTGTTCAAAAACACATAGGAAATTATAATTGTAAAATTGTAAATGTCTTTACAATTGTATTGTATTAAAATATTATTGTCATAGATAAACGGCTTGTTTCGTAAATAACATGTTTTTTCATAACGTATTCTAAGCCTTTTGGTGCTCGTTTCATTTGGCACTTCAACTGAACAAATATATGAATTTGTTTAACATAGCTGTATGAAGCATAATTTATTACTAACATACAAAATCTTATATATAAAAAAAATTGGTTTTTCATATCCGTGTTCGTTTGGCTCTGCTAAGCGACCGATTTTCATGATTAAGGTCTGAAAATTGAAGGTATGTACGCACAGATTTGCCACCAAGCATCGGCATATATATATTTGTAATCCCACTTGGCTTATACGTAAACAAAATTCGCTCCCCATGTATTTCTTATGGAAGTTAAATTTGGTTTTTCTTTTCCGAGTTTATTTTGCTCTTCAACCCGACGACATATATTTATCTAGTGTTTGTATTCTTACATCAATTTAAGATGTATTTCACAATCTATATTTATATAATCCTATATTTTGGTTAAAGAACCTTCAGTGAAATACCGGCTTTCACATAAGCTATTAGTTATTCAAATCGGACAAGTTTCAAGCAAACGCAAGGTAAAGAACCAACATAAAAACCATTTTTCATGAGGTTTTTCTGTACTGGTTACGAGAAAAGTCAAGGGACTTCAGGAGGTATCGCTGCCACCACTGCTCTAATTAAGGGAGAGTAGGCCCTAATGAGATTGGGAAGATAAAATAATAATAATAATTTTGATGCTGAATATTTAAGGTTTATTTGAACTATTAGATGCGGATGTGTGAGTATATATTAATTATGAGCAAGAGCAATGATATAGACAGTACGATGGGTGAATCTCTATTAATGCCTATTAATACTATTAATAATTGATGACAATGCCCGTGTGCCCCCTCCCTATTCCAATACGGGATCATAGTAACTTCAACGCGACTCTTTGTTCTTACACTTGCATTGAAATCACGTGATTCGCCTTTAGATAAGCCTTAAAGGCCGAAAAGAACTAAGGAAACTGTTACAACTTAACCTAAATAAAAAAGCAAAAAAACAATTAAATAATACACTTGATTTAGGGGTGGTGACACGCTACATTTCTATGATTAAAAATCAATAGCTCCAGTAATGTTAGTGATTTTTATATGTTTTGGACTCAAAATAATCAGTAACCTATAGGCTTTAATTTGATTTATTGATCGTTTGACAGTTAAGCTGAAGATACTGTAACTTATTACTCAATCAAAAATCATAAATTTGATTTTCTTGGAATATATATTTATTTTAACGCTGCGGATCAGCATGGGTTCTCTCCTACATGTTAAATGCATAAAAAACATAAGATTAAACATTAGAAACATAAGTGTGTGTGCTAAATTAAGTTAGGCCTAATTAATTGTAGCGAATCGCTACAATAGCGCAAGTCACGTGACTCAGCTGCGCGCGCAGCTACGGCAAGCACTGCGGCGAACCGGGGAGAGTAGAGTACAGTGGTAGTGTGCCCGCCTGCAGCCGT